ATGAAATCTAATACGAAAACGGCCTAAAGGATCTAGCATTAGACCAGTCCATTTTTACAAGTTTTCACTAGCATTGAACTAGTGAGAAATTGGGGAGAAAGGCCACAACTAGTATTGAACTAGTGTGGTGGCGTCATGCATTTATTATACCTAAATAAATCCTATAAAGTATAATTAAAGCAAGTAAACACATAATACGTATAGAACACATAATACATAGGCATAATTTCTACATGCAAAATTCTAGTGAAAGCGAATAAACACGTAAGCACATAAGCATGCAAGCACACAAGCAAATAAATGCAAATAAAAGCCTAACTATTACATTCGGGGTCTTAACTACAATTTTAAGGGGAAATTTTAAAAAGAATAATAACCTAACTATTACATTAATCTAACTAATTACAATTTTTGCAAAATTAAAATCTATCTATTACATAGGCTAACTAAATACATGTCTTGAGCATCTATCTATTAGAATTTGGCATTTAAATGCCTCTCAAATAATCATCAAATTAAATAAAATAAATGAAACTTAAGATGAATAAAATGAATAAATACAAGGAAAAACACACAAAACATGCAATTATACATAAAAAACACATAGGAACATATAAGAGGATTTAAAATAATAAAAGAAGGTATCTCCCTTGAAGTAGTGATTAAATGAGATTGGATTTGTCTTGTTTATACTCCAAAATCAACAAAATGGTCAATGTACCAATTTAATTATGAAGAAATGCAAATAATCATGAAATCTCCTAATTAAAGCACTTAAATAAAGTACAATTAACAATTAAAGAAGTAAAGCAACTTATATTTAAGAAATCAAAACAGTTAGGGACCTGATTGCAAAATATAAGAAAGTTTTTGAGCTAAATTATAATTATTACAAAATTAGGGGTCAAAATCCAAGAAAAATAAAGTTTAGGAATCAAATTGCAATTAAATTAGGGATCTAATTGAAATAAATAAAAAACATTTAGGGCCAAAGTATAATTACTCAAAAATCTAGGGGACAATCTACAATTTACATTACCAGATTACATGATAAAAAGGCTATTGGGCCATTTCTATTAATTTCTTTGGGCCAGGAATTTCTAAGACCAACTGGAAGTCCAACAAAAATAAGTAGGCTAGCCTATCTTTTGTACCAATCAAACCCAAGCACTAATATATGGGCTCAAATTCCCAAGCCCAGGTCAGAAACCCAAAAGAAATATACCAAGACCCATTTGTCAAATCTAACCAAACTAACTTTAAACCCAAAAACTCATTTTCTAACAAAAGCCAGCCAAAATATCAAATCAACAAAATCATTAAGCTTTATTTATGCCTTGAAACCTATAAATATTCTGACAAAAAAAAAAAAAAAACTTCTTAGAACATAAAAAAAAGGGGGATTAAAACTTAATAGGGGCAAAATTGGTTCAATATTCAGATTTGGGGCCATAGTGTAATTAGGCAAAAATTGGGGGTCAAAATGAAAAATCTAAATTATCATGCAAAGCTTCAAAGGCTTCTACAACTGGAAGCGCTTTGCAACTCCTGGGTTCATCAAATGCACTCATCTTTTCGTCCAAAAGCAACTAATATCTCAACCAATCAAAATTTGGACCAAAGTAGCAAAATCACAAAGCCTTCCTTTTCACTTTTCAATATAAAAACTTTGACATCTAAACACAAAGATTCAGAATAACAGCATGCGATTTCTCTTGTGCAAGACCCGAAACAACGGAGAAGAGCAAAATCTTGCATTGCCGATAGAAGAACGACTCTAGTCAAGATATTCTCAGGTTTTATCCTCCTCTTTATGACAAAGGTAACAACACAGCCACAACGCAAAAACCATGGCACCAATCCACACACACCCCCCCCCCCCAAAGATTCACGAATAGGCGAGAGCAAAAAGGAAAAAAACGAACAATGAATTCAACAACAAATTTTCAACAATTTTGATGCAACAACCAATGACATATGAACGGAAAAAAATGAAGAAAGACTACCTTTGGCCTTTTAAAAGGCAAAACACAGCATGAGATGGTCGAAGAAATAGATCCTTGTGTGAACAATTGCGGGTAAAGTTCAATTCTTTGCTGCAAAATTCCTTCACGGGCTGATGATCTCACGAATTCGGGCTCAAATTTGGCAAACTTGGAGCTGTTTTTTCTAAATTATTTCTAACAAAAGTTGCTATATTTCACCCCAAGAAAGTGTAGAAAACAAGAAATAGTCCTAAACACTCGAGGTTCGATCGAAATTTGTTGAGGAAATGGGCTGGTTGCTCAACCTGTTCATCAGGATTTTTTCCCAAAATTTCTTTTCTCTGTTTCTTCTTTTTTTTCCTCTTTTTTTTTTCTCTTGTTCTGCCACCTCTCCCTTTGTTCTTTCTTACCCTAAGGCTGCGTTTTTGGAGCCTTTTTATAGGAACCAAAAAACCCCAAAACCCTCACCTCAAAGGTGAGAATGAAAGCTGGGTTTCTTCCAAAATTTTGACCCATTGGATGGCTTGATTCCAGAAGATTCTTGATGTTTCTAGCTAAGATGAGTTGGCATTGTACTGAGGGGCTTGAAGGGAAAGAAAAATTGCAAAAAAAAAAAAAATTCGGTGGATGAAAAATGAAGCTGCAATTTCTGTCCTATGGCCTCAACCATGGCCATATATTGCTGGAGAAGAAACCAGTGCGTGCCATGCACGCGCGCGTGGCTAATAATTTTTTCCTTTTTTTTGCAAAGTTGCATTTGATTTTTGGTTTCTTTTCTTTCTTTTCTTTTTCCGATTTTTCTAAAATGATTTTCCTCAAGAAATAGAAATGAAACAAAATAAATTAAAATAACTAAAATTTAACTAAAATAAACAAAAATAGGAATAGAATGATAAAATTTTGGTGTCTACAGTAATGCTGAAGATGAAGATGAAGCATGGCTTAGATATTTCTTTGGTATAGAAATTGAACATGCTGCTTTATTTGAATTGATATTTATCAAGAATTGAATATGAACTTGTGGCTTTACTCGGATTGCTATTCATCAAGGATTGAATATGTTTGGGATTTCTATTTTGTAAAGTTTGTGAGGTTGGATGAATTTGGTGAATTGGATATAAATTTGGATGATTGGGTTCTTTGGTTATATTTTGTAAATTTGATTTGTAGGGAATATATATATGACATATTTATGACGTCATTTGGTTCGACCACCCCAATTGAACCGGTTGACCTTTGACCTTTAATCTCGGTTGAGTCGATTCCTGGTTCGATGAAAACATAGCTTAGTACTGCAGTGAAGGCATCAATTGATGATAAAGGCAGTTAAAAATGATCCATTTCATGTTTCTAATTAATGACAGGGAAGCTATCAAGTATCAAGAACACTTGGTTTTATAAAAATTGCCAATGAGATTCAAGAGAAGCCGTAAACAGAAGAAACTATTTAGAATTGGCAGAAGACAGCAATCCTGCACTTTGCCATATACCTCTTTATCTCCCCAGCATTTGTTTCTAAATGGATGTCTATTTCACAAAAGCGCTCCACGCTTTCAAATTAAGCTAGCGAGAACCTGAAAACGTGGACGGTATCGATACAGTACTTCATCCAAGTAAACCAGGCTGGCATTTTGTTCTGTAAACAGTACTTCCAAGTTCCTTTCGCAAGGAAATGAACCATTTCCTCTTTTAAGTCAATGGATAGGGCATCTTAGGACAAGCGACAAACAGGGCAAACTCAGACTGGGAACAGGATAAAGTTTCTTGCTTTGGCATATATCTCTCATCCCACAGAACTGGAAATTCCCCGGTTTTTGCTAAAATTGTGATATGATTACTAAGTGAATGTCCATTTCACAAGAGGGATGTGATTCCCAAGTGAATGCCTATTTCAAAAAAGGGCTTCATGCTTTCTATCTAAGCTACCGGGGAACCTCAAGACGTGGTCGATTAAAAATGTGCATACTCTGTTCATTGCTTTATCCAAGTCATTTTTGGCAAAAGAATGACACCAGTGATGCTGATATGCACAGGATCAGTAGACCAAAATTTGTGACTCAAACTTCAATTCATAAGCCCTAGTTTTGTGGGTTGGCCAATGATTAATTATTTCACTACCATATAACTACATGTTTATATAGACTTGCAAAAACTCATACACAGACACACAGGCAGCTAACACTGCATTTTACATATACACGTAACATGTTTTAGAACATGCAAGTCGCCAGAAAAACCATATCTACCATTGCAACAATATCCTTTTCCGCCGCTCCCTAATATAGTAACATATATAGCACGGTTAAAAAAAAAAAAGACCTCTTATCATTGTCTTAGTGAATAATGACAATAATATCATCAAATACATATATATTAATCACTTGAATGAACATAGAGGAAGTGACACAATTATACATCTAATGCATCTAAATATTGTTGTGCACGACAAATGATGATGTAATTTGTTTTTTGGCTTCTTAAACTTAAACTCAATCAAAGTTATAAATTTCCCTAAAGTTAAAAGTAGAAATAATGAATGATTCTGAAAGTATTAATTCTATGGTTAAAAGATAAATCAAATTACTGATACTAGAATCGAGATCGATTTGATAAAAGTTCATTTCAGTTTGGTTTATTAACTTGTCAAATCAAACTTAAACAACATTTCATGCTCAATAAACTTTCAAGTTGGGTTTGAACTTGGTTTGATTAGTATAAAATTAGAATTTATATGTAAAAATTTCAAGCTATTCGAGTTTCACTTGAGTTCAATTTGATAAAAGTTCATTCAAATTCGGTTCGACAAGTAAATAAGACAAATGTAAATTTTTTTTTAATTTGTTAAAATAATTAAATAAATTTGAACACTAAAGTGTTTGATTTAATTAGATTTATTTACCTCTCTAATTTCAAATTTCTCACAAAGAACATAGAGGACAGTTTGGTCCACAACATCGCCTATAAATTCTGGGAGTTTGTTCCATTCTTTCTTACATTCATACTCAGCAAACGAGCTTCGCCTATCGCAACCAATTGCAATAATCTCTTCTCATAACTCTTTGCCTAAGTATGACTGAAGTCGCAACCAACTTCCAAATGGCTGATATTACAGCCAACCACCAAATAACTGAAGTGGCAAACAACTACAGTAAGTTTCAGTCTCCGCGTTCTGCATGCATGCATTTATATCTATTTTCCTATAAAATGAATATTCAGCACTTATATTTTCTTCTTACTGAGATGTTCGTTTCTATCAGTGAAGGAATTCCAGTCTACCGAAGTCGATGCTATACTTAAGCAAGCTGGAGAGGTGAATTAATATAATAATCCTAGATCTAATTTACCTTGACTGTTTTGTCTATGGTTTTGACTAGATTTTTCTATAAATGTAACTCCTAACCTTTCAATCTCCACCTGCCGGTCATTTACATTTGTATGGGAGGGCAAGATTTGGATCTTAATTTTGCTTGATTTTTCTCTAGTAAGGGAGGGATAGGATTTAAGAAGTAAAGAAAGGAAAGGGGGATAAAAATCCAAGATTTCTATGTCTTGACCCATGATTTTCAAGATTTCCAAGGGGGGCCACAATCTTAACTGCTAGACTAAAAGATTTTCTCAGCTCTTAATTATGTTTGATTGAGTTTCTGCCATTTGTTAGAACTTTCGGGATCTAAAATTATTCAAAAGTTTTATGGTTTACACCTTTGCAGACCAAATTAATTGTGCCTGGTGGTTGGACTCCAGTGAACCCTCTAGACCCTCACATTCAAGAGCTCGGAAGATTTGCAGTGGATGAGCACAACAAGACGACAAAGAACAAACTGGTGTTTGTGGCTGTGGTTGCTGGCTTGCAGAAACCACTTGGATTTGCCACTCTGTACTGGCTCCTTATTGCAGCTAAGGATAGCAAGGGCAAGTTAGGTCTCTATAAGGCACTGGTCATAGAATACCTAACTGGGGTGAAGAAACTCTTATACTTTGGGGCTGTGCCCTTTGTTATTAAGAACAAGGACTGAAGATTAACATTTATTGTACTAAGTATCTAGTGTGTGCCCAAGTATGGTTGTTTCAGATGCACTTTTGACATGTTGGAGGTGCATTTGTACCAGCAAAATGCACCGATATATCAGATAAATAAACCTTGGACCGTGTTTGAGTTTGTATATTTTGCTTCGCCATTAATTCTCAAATTGGTTTTTGTTGGTTGTGTTGTTGTGGGGGGGGGGGGGTGGTAGAGCGATGAGGTGGAATAGAATTCAACCATTTTTTGTAGAAACGGGTTTACTGAACCTCTTGTTGTCCAATCACCATTTTCTTTTATGCTTTCCATCATGGCAGTAGAGATTATACCCAGATCTCCAAATTTTCAATCGGCCCCATTTTAATTCATGACAACAAATGAAGATATATTACACTGGCAAAATTTAGCAGATCAATTTTAGTGGTGGTTACCAATCTGAGCTAGCAGTGTGAAAAGAAGTGATTAGTCTTTTATGTTATTTTCCCCTCCATAGATCAAACAATATTTGAGCAAAGTTTTGAAAACCGGACCGGACCGGCTGGTTCGACCGATTGAACCGCGAACCGGCCATGGCACCGGTCCGGTTCTATGCTTTGGTTGATTTTGCCAGAGAACCGGTCAAACCCGAAAAAACCGGTGAACCGTGTTGAACCGGTTTTTGAGTTTCCTTTTTTTTTTTTTTTTTGGCAAAATGCTTCTATCAATATTCGAGCTCAAGACCTTTGCAATAGAAGACCAATATAGTAACCATTGCACCATCACATCTTATTTATATAAAACAAATATCTATATTTCATTTTTCCATTTTTCTTACAAAACCTCATCCTCTCATGACTCTTTCTTTTTAATCTTCAATTCTTTCTTTCTCTCTCATCTTTTCTTTTGTCACTCCATTTTTAATCAAACCTCTTTAGTTTTAATTTATTGATGTTTTCTTCTATCTTTTAATTTTGTTTTTGTCCATTAAATTGGAAAAAGTTAAAAAAGAATTATTTTTCTTTAACCCAAATTATTTAATGCCACAACCACTCACTTTTATCTCATTTTTTGTTTCTTATCAAGTTTGCATTTCTATTTTCAATTCTCTTAACTTCTTTCGAACTCTAAACTTTCTTTTTTAAATTACAATCTTTAAATCTCAAAGACGTAAATTAAAATTTAAGTTCACAATGTCAAATTCTCATAGACGTGAATTTTGTATAATTTCAAAATATTGTGATATTTTTGGATTGGATTTAAGATTTTTTTGGTAGATATAATTAAAATTGAGATGAAATTTATTTGTTTTAACTTATAATTTAAAAAATTTATTTTTGAAAATCCAAATTATTCAAAAATAGTGAAATTTTCATCATATAAAGTTTTAAATTAGTCCATTGCATGTCTTATTTTGTGCATATATATATTTATATAAATTATTTTTAAAAAAATTCATTGAACCGAGATTGAATCGGTCCGACCGGTTGAACCTCGACCCTTTCACCTCATCGGTTCAATTGACGGTCCGGGTTTTAAAACATTGTATTTGAGGATGATTTTCTGGGTGGGAAAAAAAAAAGTACCGCTTTGGTGAACTTTGCAAATTCTGGACATCGACCAAACTTTGATTTCCCAAAATTTCCCTTATAGTTTGGCTGCTCGTTACAGTATCTGGAGAAGCTTCTAAAATCATACAAAAACATTAAGGGTCTGTCTAATGGTGCCCGTTAATTGGAAACTTGTTAAAATATATTTCAAAAGTCATATTTTTTAAAATGTATAAGATTAATTAGAAAAAATAAATAAATATATGGGAGGAAAGGTAAGATTAAATGGAGAAAGTATATAAATGCAAAGGAAAATAATAATTGTTAGCGTACGTATCCTATACATATATAAAAAGTACTTTGTAGCTGTCTTTTGGGAAAATTTCATCTAACATCTAGGGGAATAAATATGGAAGAGAAAAAGTATAATTTAAATGGTTAAGCGCTGTGTACTTGGTCATGCATTCGTTGGTATATTATGTCGATAATACCTTTTTAAATGTGGGTGGGGAAGACCATTTAGGACTTGGCAGAAGAGCTATAATTAATACAATACAAATAGGAAAAAAAGACATTAAGACGGAGGGAAATGCTATCAAGATAAAAGAATGGAGAAAATGTCTTTTGAGAACTTGCCAAAATAGTTGGACGGAAAGAATGGGAATTATCTTTCAATGAAGAGTGTGAAGAACTCAAATTAGCAAGGAAACTGGGTTTTAGAGGGTTTTCATTCCATTTAAAAGAGTAATAGAGTTTTGATTAGTGGTTTCAATAAATGGCACTCTGATGAGGATTGCAATGATTGTAAAGAGTGTGTTTTATTGAAAACACTAAATAATAGATCTTCAACCAGTTGTAAATGGGTATTGGATGAGTAATTATTGTCATTGTGTTACAAGAAGCACTGCAATACTGTTGACCTCCCTAACAATCATGGGGCACTTGGATATTAAATAATTTTGGCTCAAGGGGTTGGGATTCATGCTTTTTTAAGGCATTGGGTCAGATATTTCTATTTCCTCTATCCGTTTATGTACTTTTTTGCCTTCAGTTGGGTCATTAAGCATGGTTAATTCTTTCCTGCAGTCGCTCTTATTAGCTAGGCTACGAATTTGACTATTTTGTGATGCAATAGATTATCTTTGTGCCTTTTTACATATTCTAATTGTGTTCCTAAACTTTGATTCCCATGGTTGTAGGTGGCTGAAGGGTGAGAAAAAGTTATTTGCTTACAAAACTTGGTATTCAAGGTAAAGTCTCAATTTTCATTCTCAATTAGTACATGTTTATTGTGGAGAGTTAATTGGACGTGAATTAATGTTTGGTAAAATTTCTGAATGTTTTTAACATGGGACAAATAGTTTCTATTCTGTTGGGATTAAACCTTTGTTGCTTAGCTTATTAGCACCTTTTCTTGAATTTGCTGGAATGGTTGTCCGTCTATTAGTTTAGCACAACCTTTGCTTTGATTAGTATGACATATGGAACCCTGCAAATCACTATAGTAAATAAGAGATATGTATTGAAACATGTTTTAACAGTGATAAGTAGGGGTGGCAATCGGTTTCAAATCGGATTGGCGGGTCGGGTTTAGATCGGGTAAACAGAAAATCTGTTGACCTGAACCTGACCCACTATCTTGAAACGGGTTAGGATACCTGATTTGAATCCGAAAATTTTGGGTTGTCGGGTCGACTCGAAATGACCCAAAACTTAATTTTAATTTATTAATTTACCACTGTAATTTCTAATAAAATCAATTTTGGACAAAACTAATTACATAATCAAGTAATAAAAATTTAAATAAATAATCCTAAGCCAAATCTAAAATAAATTAAACACCGTATAAAAGTAAAAAATAATATAATACATTATTTGTCCAAATATAATAATTTCAACTTCACACAGGTTAAATAAATTCATTTAGGATTAAGTGATTAATGTCTTTGGAAAAAATGAATAACTTAGTTTAGTTAGATAAAATAATTTTTATGTTTATTAAATTATTTTTAATTCGTAAATGAGTTATATCGGGTCAACCCATTCGACCCATTTTCTTTTCAAGTTCAACGGAATCGACCAGATTCTAACCCGAACCTACGAAATCTCAACTCAAACCCATTAATTTCGTGTTAGATTCGTGTCGTATTTTCAGGTCGTGTCGGAAATTACAACCCCTAGTGATAAGGGGAAACGTAAACAGGCACTAATTAACAATAGCACATCAAAGATTCCTAAATATCTAAACATATGATAGTTGTATGGCTAAGGGCTCATGTTTGTTCATAACTTCGGGAGAAACAATTTATAATTTGAAATAATTCAATCTTAGAATAAAGGATTTACAATCAGTCAGTTTGATTTTATTTCTAATCATTACAATTGTCAGGACAAAAGCGATTCAATTTTTTTTATCAATGTTTTCTCAGTAAATTTTGTAAAAATTCCTACTGACTTATGATTATGTGATTAAATGACCAATTGGTTACTTTTACATTTCTCGACTTAAACAAATTAATTTATTTGATTCTATTTGTGCATTTAAAAATCACTATACTTTCTCATTTTCTTACTGATATTGATAGTATTTTTTACTTTTGTAATCTCATAATGTTTAACAAATTATAACACAAGTACTCACTCCTATGCAATGGGCAGACTTCATCCCTAGTATACAGGATAGATTAAATGAATTTTAAATGCATCAAGGTGTGCCCAATGAGCATCCGTTAAAAAATTCAAGCATTAATGTATTTTATTGTACACTAACCATACAGATTGGGACTACGACTTAGCCCCCAAGTCCTTAATTGTTGTCGTCCACCTTAATAATATTGGAAAGATAGCCAATACCGACCATTTTTAAGGTTATATTCCGTTTGTATCCTCATTTGTAGAACTGGTTACTTGAAAGCTGCTAATTTTGCGTTATCGTGGAAAATTTCTCTACAGCAGCAAATCAATTACTGCATTCAAGAAATCTTAAGGAATAAGATACAATTTCGATGCCATTCCCAAGAAAACGTGTTAATGGAGATTGTTGCATTATTGAATCTAATGATGTTAATTATATTTACTGATGATTATCCATCGAACGTCCTGAAGCTATAAACGATGAGGATTTCGCAATCAAAGATTCAAGCACAATTAAGGCAATCAATGTAATCAATAATTCATGGTAAGAATAATAAAAAAACATAATTAATTAAGGCTTAAGAAATATGAAAGGGAAGTTTTCTATGCTAGCACAATAAAGCAAGGATGGAACAGGAGGAGGGAGGGAAGGGCCACCACCCCAAGTTCCAGAAATTTATGCTTTTTCCTCCTCAAGATTTTGAGAAATTTGATGACAAAGGCAGTTAAAGATGATCCATTTTTTGTTTCAAATCAATGACAGGGTAGCTATCAAGTATCAAGAACACTTGCCTTAATCAAAAATTGCCAATGAGATTCAAGAGAAGCCGTAAACAGAAGAAACTATTTAGAATTGGCAGAGGACAGCAATCCTGCACTTTGGCATATACCTCTTTATCTCCCCAGCATTTGTTTCTAAATGGATGTCTATTTCACAAAAGCGCTCCACGGTTTCAAA